CTGGCTTACTACTACTTGAAAGCTTTGAATGCCAAGCCATATTCCAGGACTTCCAGTGCACTGCACCAATGTCCACACAGGATGTTACTGCATGGAAAGTAACTGCAGATTCACACTCTGGCACGCAACACAGTATGGTGTTGTGTAGACAAGCCTGAAGAGAATGCCTTGGTCAAAGGTCTGAGTGACAGGGAGGATGGGAGTGTTTAACTGTGCCTGATGAAAGAGGGAGATGTGGAGGGTTTGGGAGTGAAGACCAGGACTTGGTGGCAAAAAAATCCAAGAGATGTCAGAATGAGATGCACCCAGAGGCAGGATTTGGGCAAAGAAAGCCCCTTTTAAAATTGGAAACTCTGTAATGATGACTGTTCATGTGTCAAAAATAGTTTGATATCTAGGTACAGTGCATTCCAAAAATAACTGAGAAAATATCAAGGGGGTAGAAATTAATCAGCAGAGAATGATGAATATTTTGACAAATGTGAACAATATACCACTTATTCTACTATTTTCCTCCTAATTTTATTTCCTTCTATTTCTACTCTTCTTCATTCTTCTCTTACTACTCTTATTTATAATATGATTGCATCAGTATCTGCATGAAACATGATCTGATGAGAAAAGGACTTTCCTAAATCATTTGTACCCTAAAAATTCCAAGTGAGAGAAGCTGTTATGTCCTGGAAAGGTTCCAGTTTGGAGACCTGGGGGCGGAACAGTCTAGCTGTTCTGAGAGATAATGGCCCCCAAGTGAGTGAAACTGGGTGGAGCAAGAGTAATGAATGGCAATACGGGCCAGATCCTTGTGCAGGTAAAACTCAAATTGAAGTATTTTTATTATGTTAATGAAATTATCTGGTAAAAACGCTGGTAATATGCAGTGATAACCGTTATATTTAATGGCTGAGTAGGTCCTGGCTAATGGCATGAGTTGATGTCTAACTAGTTGAGATTATTATTGTATATGGCATATAATGGTTGCTTTCAATTGTTTATGTAGTCAATGGTGGCAGTATATGCCATACAGTGTATAAATACAACCTCTTGTGTATATATCCAGCCTCTAGTGTATTTCTTCTTGCAAAGTGAACTGAGCAACTTCAAAGGTGCACTGCCATATTAAAAATCAAAGTGCTAATATGTATGTGCACCACTGTCCTCTCCGAGATGGATTCAGAACTGCTTGGCTTTTGTCATAGGCCCTACCCTTCTCCATGGTTAATGGAGATTCAAGTGGGGTAGCTGAAGAGGTGTATGGAGAATGCACCTCCAGTTGCATGGAAATTAGTCAGAAAAGGTACAACAGCAGCAAGCTTTATTATCCTTTCCCAGCAGCTCCCACTCTTGGAACCAGCCAAACAAGGGGGCGTACCGGGTATAATGGCTTCATTGGAGCCATGCTGCCATGGAGCCAAGGGGGTAAGGGATTGCTGGAGGCCAGAGTTGGTGCTGAGGCACAGGGACTCCAGGCAGATGGCCCTCGTCTCCCATGGATTTGTACAGATGCCCTGGCATTTGCCAGATTTGGGGATGGGGCCCCAATGTCTTTTCCAAGGAAAGGTTTGTATAAAACCCTACTTGTGATGTGAAAATATGGAGGTGATCTCAGTGAAGGATTCTAGTGGAGGTTTCCTCCCCCTGATTTGTGGGTTTTTGCACAGGATGGGATGATTGGGGACCCAGGAGTTGGATCTGTTCTCTTTCTATCACTTCTCTGCTCATACTCATGGATATTTCCTTGGCATACATCCCTCGCAATCTTTAACTGGCAGTAGGACATGTGTTAACGCTTCGATACAGCAGAGGGATGTGTGAGCAAACTTGGGTTCCCTATAGAGCCCCACTGCCAGGCCCAAGGTTCAGCCTGTGTGGAACTGACTGAAATCAGGGCCTAGATATGTGCATAAATGGGTCTGCTCACCACGCCTACATTCTGTTGCTTTTATTTGGGAGGTGTAATGTCGTTTTTTTTTTTTAAACCTCCTTATTGCAGTTATGGGATGTAAATCACACTCATCAGCATCCAGATGGAAGGAGGGAAGAGGCTGGTGTTGATTTGCATTCATTGGGTTGTTCCCTGGAAGGGTTATGATTTGTTTTCTCCTTTTCAGGTTGGTTGGTTTTGTTTTTTGCAAGGTAAGGTTTGATTGTGCCATTTAGACATGACCCTGCATTAGGGGCCGTGCAAAGTAGCCCTGCCCCACTGGCAGTACTGGAAACATTCTTCCCCAAGAGAGACAGAATGCCTCCCAGAGCTCCCCCGTGTACAGTGGGAATGAACACCCTGCAGTACCCCTTTAGGAGGTGTAGGATGCTCCCCATCTCAAGGAGGCTGGCCAGCTCCACTGGCTGGCATGAAAGAGGAGGGTGGGGTTATGGCGCTGCGTCTTTGGAATGCTGTGCACCCCCAGGGAGTAGTTAGGGGATGATTCATGTGTTTCCCTGAGACTGCATTTCTGCCCTGTCCTTAGGCAGACTACCCAAAATGGGGAGAGGCTCTTTACCCCCCCCCCTCCCCCGGCTGCACAGACATATAAGGGCCAGTGGGGGATCTAGCCCTTAAAAATGTCAAAAAATAACCCCATCTTTTCTTCTGAGCCCACATTAGTCCCCACACTCCCTTTATTTGGCTGGCCCCAGATCTTTTTCTGCAGCTTCTTGCCCTGCTTTGACCATTAGGAATCTGAACTTTCTCTTTTTCAGTTTCACACATTTTTATTTAGCCTGGGACAAATCCAGCGTCACTTTTATCTCTCTTGTGCCTCTATGTCCTTAGTTTACAACAGGCACAGCCAACCTACAGCTCTTGAGGCTTTAAAATGTGGCCATTCGAAGGCTTCTGTCTTAAGAAGAAAATGTGCATTTGATTCCAAATGGAAAATGTGTCCTGCGGGTTTTAATGGGCAGTGTTTGAATCAGGCCTACTATTGCTATGGAGACGAGGAAGGAGGCACCATCTTCCTGACAGCCTCCCAGCGTCCCTGCTGTTCCTTCCTTGCTCCAGCTGCTCCATTTGTTTGTTTGTTTGATTCTGAATCAACAGTGCCTCATGGATACGAACGTAGCTAAGATGGTGTAACTGGTAACATTCCAAACCACTGTTGCCAATTCTGGAGATTTTGGTCTCTGTTGGAGCCAGTCTCCCATGACAAGAAGCTCCAGCCCTCAAGCAAATGTGAGCTCTGCTTCAGGAAAACTCCCCCTATTCCGCTGCCTTCCCCAATTCCTAGCCTGAGCTTCCTGGGCAAGAACAGCCAACTAGAGATGCTGCAGGAAGCCCTCAGAGCTTTCATTCTGTCCTTGTTCCCCTGGGCAGGGGTGTATGTGTGTGGAGAGAGTACCCAATACCTTCTCACAGCAGGAGAGGAGGACTTGCAAAAAAGATCCCAGCAGCTCAGGGTATTTGGCTCCATTTCCCCCATCTCCTGTGAAAAATGGGTAGGTCTCCCTCCCTCCCTCTCCAATCCATCCCTGCAACTCCAGCCCTGGGGTGGGTTGGGATAATCCCTGGAGCTGTAGGAGGGGCAGATGTGGGGTGCACAATTAATTACTAGTCTGAGGGGCACAGAATGACTTTGAATTTTGGGGTTTGGGGGGAAGCTGGAAGCTTGATATCATCAAACAGCATTTCATACAAACCCATGTTGATTTTTAGCTGGGGCTTCTGCAGCAGGGGCCATGTGGGAGAGATGTCAAAACTCTGACTGTCCCACACACATTAGGAGTGGGCGGCGGGGGGGTTCAAAACCCAAAAGACAGACCAGCAAACACAATATCATTTTGGGGCCAATCTCATGCATTTGGGGGGCTCTGACTCATGGCTTTTGAACTCTTGGGATTGGCAATACTGAAGATTCAACTGGAAATTAACAAATGGGTGGGTGGGTGGGTGGAGGGGTAAACAACTCCAAAAGTCATATTAAGAGGCTAATAAGGCAAGACAAGTTTTGTATTGGGGCTGTAGGATAAATAGTTAAAATATTCAGTGTGGCATCCTCGTCCTTTTGAAATAATATTTTGGCTCTCAGGCCAAAACCACTGGTCTACGTAATGTCTGTAATTTATTGATGCTATGCCCTTCTTTGCCCTCTGCTTTTGTGTGTCAGGCGCTTAGTTCTAGGAGGATATTTTTTGCTGCTGATCGTTCCTTTCTCTTTAGTTGGGGTGTCTGTGTATGTTTTTAAACCTGTGACTTGTTGCCAATATTTTACCAAGGATTCCCCACAAAAATCCCCCCCCTTTGCCTGTGATAAACCCCTTGTACTGGGTAAGTATGCTTGCAGGGAGGAGGGGGTAAGAAACTGGGAAATCTTACTTGGGCTTCCTCTGTAAAGAAAAGCTCTTTCTCCTAACCAAGGAAGGAGGCAACACAAAGAGAGATGAAGTGATTTTGCATTTGGTTCTTGAAAAATATGGGGAGCGTACTGTGCTGAATTTGTTTACTTTCAAACGTTGCAGGTGGGTGTATAGACACCTTGGCAGGGGCCCTGGAGCGATCCTCATCTTGGAAAGAGTTTGGAAAGTCCCTGATTCCTGGTGCAATTTGGCATATTCCAAAAGCAAACAATGTGTTTTACAGAAATCGCTTTTGTGCCAGCCCGAGGGACAGGATGTGGCAGGCAGCTGCTGTACCAGCGTCCAGAGAGAGGGGGTGGCAATGGTTCCATCGCAGAGTGGGCAATCACCCCAACTCCCCACGTCACACGAGAGCAGAGCTTTCACAATGGGATCCCAGAGCTCCCGCCAGCAGCACGTCCCAGAAAACAAAACCCTGCTTGATCCCATAGCAGCCAGTAAACCAAATCCGATTGGCTTTCGATTACGTTTATCTGGTCCACCAGCCAATCAAACTCTCTTTTCTCCCACAGCATCACAGAAATTAGAGCCGGAAAAGACCGATTAGGTCACCTAGTCCAGCCCTAGGCCCGGCTCTGATAGGGAGTGGCCCGGCTATTTAATGAGTGACAGCTCAATACCCCGCTCACACGGGAGCTCTCTAGGAGCCGGTCTGAACCTGTTAGCGTGTGAGGCTGCCGGAAGGCGCTGCATTGCTATTGCTGGGTGATTTAACTCTTCGCTCTCTGCCAGGTAAAATTGTTTTGATTGGGGGACGATTTAATTAACACAGCCAGCTGGAGAGGGATTGCATTGGTGAACCCAGAGGGGTGAACTGCTCATGCAGAGGAGGGATTTGCTGGCACAGTCGAGGCTGGTGCAAATGCAACGTCCCCTCCATCCAGCTCCGCCAATGCACCTCCGTATTCCTGGGCTCTTCGTGGTCCGAGCGGCTTGCCCCGAGCCGGCTCCCCATGCGGCATGCAGGCGAAGGGTGTGCTGGTGATGCCAGCCTGCGGGGAGGGAGGATGGCTTGTAGGTGCTCTCGACTTGTGATGTGAGTCAGGATTTGAGATCAGCTATACGCTGGCTCACTGAACAGAAGTGGTAATTCTTAGCGCTACTGATCTCTCTCTCTAGCCGCATGAAAGCCACTTGGGACAACTTAATTTCCTCCAGGGCTGTTACTATCCCGTTTGTTTTTTACAAATCAGAAATGTGAGCTGTGCCATGTAAATGATGGGGCAGGGGGATTGGTGCTTGGAAAATAGCATTTTAAAAAAGTTGCTAAATGAGCAATCTCTGAGGTGCTGTTCAGTAACGCCTTTATGAATGGGGAGTGTTTTCAAAAGAAACTGATATGCCATTCAGAACTTGATTTTTTTCAGAGGTGCTCAGAGCCATAATGTCATCTGGTCAGAGTGGGAGCTGCAGGTGCTCAGCACCTCTGAAAATCGGGCCTCGAGACAGCATTGTGTTAAAGGCTGTGCCAGTCTAAGATGTTGCCATGTACAATAGTTACCTTTCGCTTCATTGTGAGGCACAGCCAAATATGCTGTTCTACAGTAGGCCTGATCCTGCTGTCCTTATGAAGGCTAAAGTCCTTTGACTTCAGTGGGACTGGTGTGTGCGTCAGGTCTGCAGGTATGAGACCAATGGGTGCAGTCTGGGGAATAAACAAAAGTTATCAGTAAAAATATTTGGGGGTGGGGGGGGGAGGAATACATGTAAGGGCTATCTGAGAATGAAACCTGAGCATTTTGCAATGAGAGCATTCTTAACTAATCAAAGTGATGCTGAAAAGGTGGAGTGGGATGTGAAACCATCTATAAATACTTGAAAGGTGCAATATCCAAAGAGGAAAGAATCTATTTGGTGTGGCACTATAGGGTATCAATAGCTGGACATTATGAAGGGGGGGATTTTGAGTAGACATCAGGAATAATTTTATCCGACTGAGATCTGTTATTGGGGAATATTCTCCTAGGGAAAGTGGTGGAAGCCCTATGACTTGAGTCACTTAAAACTTAACTGAACAAAGCACTGGCCCTGTGGACAGGCAAAGGATAAAATTTTCAAAAGTGTCAAAGTCCTAGTCTCAAAAGTGACTTAAGCACTTGGACTGAGATTTACAAGGTGCCTAAGGGGTTAGGTAGGTTTGGGCACCTAACTCACTTACGCTGAAATTTTCAAAGGTGCATGAGTGAGTTTTATATGCCCAAATCCACCTAACTCCTTTGATTGGGATTTACAAGGTGCCTAACTGCCTAAATCACTTTTGAAAGTAGGATTTAAGCTCCCTTTGTCACTTAGGTACATTTTGTTAAATCATCCAAGGTAACATTTTTCAAGTCTTCCCTTCCCCCCCCCTTCCCCCCCCCCCCGTCTCTGACTTTGACTGTCAATCCTGAAGCTTTCAAATTCAGCTACTTTTAAAAAGATATTTTTATTCTGATAAAAGATCATCCAGTTAACTGACTCTGAAAAGTGCATAACTTCACTTGTGACAAATGGTAGTGTTGTGTATTTAGATACTAAATCTACCTATGTGCTTACAGAAATACAGAACTGATCTGAAAATACTGGAAAAGTCCACTGTGGCTTAATAGAGACTGCGTTATTTTGTGTTGGTATCTGTTCATAGGAAGTAATGCAGTGGCCTTTTAAAATAAGGGAATAAGGAGAGAGCACAGTTTTGGAAAGCTTAAAAATGCAGTTTAATGTTATTTGTTTCAAATAGAGGGCCTGATTCACCTTTGTCCTTCACCTTGTGTTAAGTGTGTCTAAAATGGTACCAAATCAGAATGGCAACAGTGATGAGCCCATTTGACTCAAATGTGTTCAAATCTCTGCAGTGGGAGAACTGTGCAAAATGCATGTTTGCCTGTTATGTAGGCAAAATCCTGTATTTGTTCATGTAATCCAGATAACTGCAGGTGCAGAATACTTCCTGAGCAAGCACAATTACCTGACTTTCTCTAACCAGTGCAGAGTTTTGTCTCCAGTACTGATGAGTATGAGTACTCTGCAATGCACAAACCGTTGACTTTTAGTCTCTTTATAGCATCTGGGATATTTTGCATGTGAGTGGTTTCTAAATAAACAGCATGTAGCTGGGCACAGAGGCAGCTGATCTTTTCTCCACTTTGTCATTTTCCCAATCTCCTTCCCTACAGGTGACGTTGCCTACTTCACCCAGGGAGACAGGGTCAGTGACTCCCAGAGAAGAAGCCAATCAGTAACTTCCATCTGTCTGAACCCACATGTAAGGATGTCAGGGATCTTGCTTTAGAGAGCTAGAGTCCTCAATTTCTTGCTCAGCCCCAGGAGGTGGGGTTCAGAGGCTTGGTTTTTGGTTCCTCTTTTTCCTTCACTTCCCATATAGAGGTTTCTTCTAATTATGAATTGTTGATTGTTCCTCTGTTATCTTGTCTCTACATTCTATCCTTTTCTGTTCTTGCTGCTATAACTTTGCTTCATTCCATGGTCACTTCTGATCTCTAGTACTGTAACCTCCTGCTCCTGCTCTGCACCTCTTTCCCTCATCCCCCTCCAGGCTACAGCTACATGACTCCCAAGATCATATTTATTTTCACTGCTCTGGCCACATCACTTCTCTTCTCAGATCTTTCACTAGCTTCTGTTCTTCAGCACTAAGTTCAAGCTTCTCAGATCTGATTCCCCACTCTTGTCACAGCTGTTTTAGTCCAGTGTAACTTCATTGGCTTCACTGTGTGTAGCTGAGTGGAACAACAAACCTCTTATCTGTAAGATACAGCTCCATCCTTACATCTACACCCTAATATAATTCTCCTCCCGACCCCAATTGCTGCTTAAACTCCTCCACATCTCCTAACGAGCCTCTTCTCCCCTTGCGCTGGGCTTTGTGCCTTTTACCATGCCGCCCTCTTCACTTGGGACAGGCTCCACATGTGTCCAACCCATTTCTTCAATGAAGTCTTTCTACATTGGCAATATCCCCTTTATTGTTGTTGTTTCCTACCAGTATCCTATTCGTCTGTAAGCTCTTCAAGACAGAGACTGTGCTGCCTAAACAAGTCTCTGGAGAGGTGGGGTTAGTGGCTTCTTGGAATATCTGGGAGGCAAGCAGATTTCTCTCTTCTGAAGTGCCCGATCTGTAACATGCTCAGCTGGGAGGTGATTCCCAACCCAGGCTGACAGATTTACACTAGCTCAGCTCAAGCAAGCATGCTAAAATAGGAGTGTGGATGTTGCGGCACTGGTGAAGGCTTGGGCTAATTACCAAAACTCAGATCCAGGAGATTGTGTGGGACTGAACTTGGGTAGCTAGCCTGACTGTAACATCCACAGTGCTATTCTCGACACACTGTCTCAAGCGGAGCTAGTGTGAGTCTGTCTGCCTGGTCTGGGAGGCACGCTCCCAGCTGCCATGTAGACGTACTCAAAGAGGCAGGGTTGGTGGCTCACTTTGTTGACAGCGTTGGCATGACTATCTGTCGGTGTAGTTCCTTCCTGTGGCAAGGGAGGTCTAGGTTGGACATTAGGAAAAAGTTCTTAACTGTCAGGGTGGTTAAACACTGGAATAAATTGCCTAGGGAGGTTGTGGAATCTCCATCTCTGGAGATATTTAAGAGTAGGTTAGATAAATGTCTATCAGGGATGGTCTAGACAGTATTTGGTCCTGCCATGCGGGCAGGGGACTGGACTCGATGACCTCTCGAAGTTCCTTCCAGTCCTAGAATCTATGAATCTATGAAGACTCTAACTGCCTTTTCTTTTCCTGCAGATAGCTTCATACTGAGGCCATGATGTTCTTTTGACAGCAGCTCAAGTCTCTGTGCCTGGGGGTTTGTGCCAGTGGAATGCATTTGCAATAGTTCAGGTGAGGACAACTACTTCTATATGTCACTCTAGTTTTTTAGCTAATTATTTCAGTATTGTGCTGATATTTAAGGAAACATATTTCTGCCCCTCCCCTCTAAATATAATTACGAGAATAGTGGTCCAAATCTTGTATATAATTGTACTGAAGTCCATAGTTACGCCCAAGACGAATTTACCTCTGGGTGGGTCCTTTTTTCCTCTATCCCTAGGTGACTTGTGTTGGGCTCCCGTGATGCCCAGTTCCGAACTTATGTAAGAGGGTGCAACTTTCTTGCCTTTCTGGTCACATCAGGTCTGAATTTGGACTTGTAAATCAGTTGATCAGTTCCTGTGGATGATACAATCCTTTGATCTCGACAATAAACGTCCAGTATCTAGACAATGAACCTTCTTTATAAACTGTGGGCCCTTTATGACGTTATAGTGCTATAGGAACTTGCATGCTATTTTGTTGTGGGCAGCATATTTTTAAAGTCTCCGTGGGAGGAGACCACTGAAAGGGAAGCACTTTTTTTTTCTCTTTCCTCCAGAGGGAGAAATGTTTTGTGGCATTTTTTTCTTAGAACCCTGGGCTCTCAAAGAGATGGCTTAATACTGTAAGCATCTTGCTTACAATTTATGGAGTCACAAGCTTCAATCCCATCAGGGTTGACTTGAACTTCCTGTAGTACACACCTGATTTCTATGAATTTAGGGTGTGTGTGGAGTAGGACACGTGTTGTTGAGATTCAGAACTAAGTTCTCCTGATTCTCCATGGAGACTAAAGATCTGTGGCCCTTTCCTGTAAGAGCAGCTGTTTTACTCTGTGGCCTTCATCTTTGTTTTCCCCTCCCACTTGTCCACCTGGTTTCCATTCTTTGTTGAAGAGGTCTGCAAGTTTCCTGTAAAATGCTTTGGGACCCTGTGGCAGCCTGCCTGGAGCCGAATGGCCTATGCCATGAGCTTGGCATCAGATAGTGGGTTACTACTGAGGAGCACCTCTCCTGTGGCAGCCTCACCAGCACCCTCCCTGAGAGGGAGCAGGCAAGCCGCCTTCACTGGCTTGCTGGCTCCCAATTGGTCAGTGTCTCCTCCTGGCTCTTCTAGGCCCCCACAGCAACTAGTTTTGTTGGTAGCCCGGCCTGTGTGGGTTTTCCTTGAGCTGAGGTGTCTGGATGTTGATGTCTTCAGCCGGGTGCAGAGAGAGTCCGATAGACCCCATCGCAGATGCTTTGTAAATGTAAGGTAAAATTGTAAGATCTTTAGGACAGGGACTTTCTTGTTCTGTTTGTACAGCACCTAGCACAGTGAGGTCCTGATCCATGACTGGGGCTTGTAGCTGCTATAGCAATACAAATAGTAACCAAACCGAAATGTGTAGCTGGAAGAAGTGCTTCATGGTACCATTGTGTTATGTCTGTACACTTTGTTCCATGGTGATGGTTGAGAATTCTAGCACACCGTTCAGTGTGATCACACTGTTGTAGTCAGCAGCATCAAAACACTGATTCCATTCGATAATTTAGCCCCTCCGAATAGCTGCTGAAGACCTAGTCTGCAAAGCTGAAGGCAGTGTAATGCATGGTCCCTGGCCCACACCATTCATAATGTAAGACCAAAAATGGCTGGAGACTTTTGGGGTTCCCAGCTTGAGAGACTTAAGGGCTGAGCCCCCAAAATTCCAGTCAGTGTTCATGGAAGTTGCAGATGTTCAGCACCTCTGAAAATCAGGTCCCAGGTATCTCAAGCTGGGCACCCAAAAAATCTCTGGCCACTCTGGAAAATGTTAGCCTAACAGCCCAATCCATCTCCCACTGAAGATAATAGACTCCTGTTGATGAGGCAACAGATAAACAAAAAGAAAATGTGCTGTGCTTTGATAGCTTTCCTCTGGATGTTGTTGTTAAAATCAATAACCCCAAATTTGCCCAATGCTGTACAAGAAATGAAAGGGCTATGGTCCCTGCATGAACATCTTGCAGTCTAATCCATGGACACAAAGGAAATGAGATTTACTTGGAAATCAAGAGGAAGGAATAACCAGAGTGTCTTCCGTGGGCTCTTTTTTTATTTTTATTTTTATTTTATTTATATATTTATATATAAATAATATGCTCACTAGTTATGTGCATCCTAGAATGACCTTAATAAGGCGTTCAACTGCCGAGAATGTGGCTGGATGAGTGGGATGGGGAGGGTGTTTCATGTGTAAGGGGAGTTGTGGACAAAGTTACAGGAATGGGAAGAGAGTGAACATAGACTGGCATAATGGTCAGAATGAAGGTTGTCTGGGGAACTGTGACGAAACACGATTAGATCTGTAGACCAAGGTTGCATTATATAAGGACTTGAGGGAAGTCTGTATGTCAGATCTGACATGCAATCTCTGCTGCTTTAATTAATGTAACAGCATGACCTAAGTGGGCTAAAAATTACAAGTTGGGTGGAAGAAGTGAACTCCAAGGGAAGGTGGTGGTCACTTGTTATGTAGCGGGGAGGAAAGGAATGCAAAGGCTAGCAATCGGCACAGAGGACACCCAAGAACTTCCTTCAGTGGACACAACACTTAAAGTACATACAACTAACACTTAAAGTACATACAACTTAATTTTACTTTACTCTCTAGTGACATACTCCTTTCATATCTCTTGTCTAGATGGATCACCATTAAATACTAGACTATAAGCTGAGTGAAGCCAGAATCAAAATGAATAAGTGCAAACTTGTTCTGTTAAGACACGGGGAAGGAGCCTGGAACAAAGAAAACCGCTTTTGCAGCTGGGTGGATCAGAAGCTGAGCAGCGATGGGCTAAAGGAAGCTCGGAACTGTGGGAAACACCTCAAAGCACTAGGTTTTCAGTTTGACCATGTGTTTACGTCTATCCTAAGCCGTTCTATTCAGACTGCTTGGCTGGTATTAGAAGAGATGGGGCAAGAATGGGTTCCCACCCAAAGTTCGTGGCGTCTGAACGAACGCCACTACGGTGCACTGATAGGTCTCAACAGAGCCGAAATGGCGCTGAACCATGGTGAAGAGCAAGTGAAAATATGGAGAAGAAGCTATGATGTTACTCCACCTCCCATAACTGAATCTCATCCTTACTACAAAGAGATCTATAATGATCGCAGATATAAATGCTGTGATGTGTCGCAGGACAAACTCCCAACGGCTGAAAGCTTAAAAGAAGTTCTGGAGAGACTCCTTCCCTATTGGAATGAAAAGATAGCACCAGAACTGAAAAGCGGCAAAATGGTCCTCATATCTGCTCATGGAAACAGCACTAGGGCACTGCTCAAGCATCTGGAAGGTAAAGATTTTCACAATCTTTCTGCTTTACTAGTAACAGTAACCAGGCTTCTGTTTGTTTAAAAAGTTGTCTTGTATACTGATCCAACCCTTTTTTTGCATTTGATACATAGAGCCAGTTTTGCTACACTTGCAGTAGTACACTGACTGACTTAAATGGCAAGCAGCATTTGATCCCATAAGATCGTTCCATAAAACAATGTAAGAGCTTTAATATCTGGTGTCAAAGGACAAAATAATAGATTGGTCTCTTGAACAAAAATCAGATGGGAGGAAGGCAGTGCCACACAATTAGTCTGCTTTATTTCTTCATCTTTTAAGAGATTAGATTTACACCAGTGTAAAAAAGAGGAGTAACCAATCCAGCTTCGGTAGAGTTAATAGACACCAATGTGACCAAGATCAGAATCTGGCCCTGTTTTGTTTTGTTTTTCCCCTCTGTCTCCTATCTTACTGTGATTGATACAAACAGAATTTATACTCTGTTTTTCCACTCACCATATCATTAAAGTGCCTGGCTATAAATGTGTGAGGGGAATACTTATCTGTTACTGTGATATAGATCTTCTTTTAAGAGTAATTGCTTGCGAAACATCACTGATAAGTCACGGTTGTATTGACATACTGTGTCAGGTAGATGCTTGTTAAAACATTCATCTATACATATACTATCCTTTCACAGTGAACAGCTAAACTTGCATTCCTGGACCTTGCAAAGGCTTGCTGATTCCTTTAGGGACTGAGGGGGTGTGAGCTGGGATAGACCAGGGCCAATTTTGGGACAGGCTTTTTATATACAGACATGGGTCCAAGTTTAGGTCCTCCATAAATTAGCACAATCCACCTTCTAGTTCTTCAGTTACGGATGTAGGTCCTGGTCACTGTATGTCTTTTTTTTTTTTTTTTTTTAATACCATGTTTTTGTAATCTGCTAGAGGTGTAGTCACCTCTGCTGGTTGCAAGTAGATAGAAGTGCTGTGTAACACTGGCTTGTATCATCAAACCCATGTTTGTGCATCTGCACCTACTGCACTGCCCAGCATCATTTTCTTTCTGGCACAGTCTGGGCAAGTATTGTCTCACCAAAGTGTGCAGAGAACATACACCTAGAGTAGTATGCAAGGAGTGTATTCTGGAATGTACTTCACAGAGCTGGGAAGAAGATTGCTAAACCAGTTATATTCGCATGTATGGATGTCTTGTGCCCACAAAAAAAAGTGCACTGAATAAATTACAGGAAAACAGCTATGTGCCAGCCAAGCACCCTGGCAAGGGGGATACACCACTAGCTGAGCACAGTTTCTGTGTAACTTTAACACCACATTGTGTGCAGACACAAACCGTGTTCAGAGCCAGCTATGTCCGTGACTAACCCTACAGGCTATAGCAGGGGTCTCAAACTCCGATGACCATGAGGACTAGTACATTGGCCCGAGGGCTGCATTTACTGACACCTCCCCCACGCCGCCCTTGGCCCTGCCCCACTCCACCTCTTCCCACCCCTTCCCTGCCCCCATTCCAACCCCTTCCCCAAAATCCCCACCCCAACTCCGCCTCCGCCCTGCCCCCAGGGGGTGCAGGAGGGGTGTGGTGTGTGGTGGGGGCTCAGGGCAGGGAGTTGGGGTGCAGCAGGGGGCTCAGGGCAGGGGGTTGGGGTGCAGGAGGGGTGTGGGGTGCAGCAGGGGGTTGGGGTGCAGGGTTCAGCAGGGGGCTCAGGGCAGGGGGTCGGGGTGCAGCAGGGGGCTCAGGGCAGTGGGTTGGGGTGCAGGGTGCGGCGGGGG